TACCTTACTAGCTATGACATAGGGTGGCACAATTTCAATGTTTTGTTCCTCAAACATTTGACGACATTGAGCAGTGATAAAATCCCCAGCTAAAGGAGATTTGACAATAGCTTGTTGTAGAACATATCCATCATGTACTGGTACAGCACTGGTCTGCGTTGCTCCTGAATCTATCACAAGCCCTGTGGATCTGCCATTTGCAAACGCTGTAAGCGCTGCATTCTTGCACAGGAAAAACGCTGGGATGTTGTACTTTTCAAACATCAATTCTGTGAGTTTCTCTCGCTTTGGGCGGACATTCCACTAGAAAACACACAAATATAGATGTAGGTAACCTTGTAAGTGTAAAAAGTTAATTCTAAAGCATTCTTTTATTTCATTTCGTTTAATTTGACATTGTTTATATGACATACACCTAACCAGTGTTCCTGAGATAAGTGAGGGGTCTCGGGTCAAAAACCCGACAATGTCAGCTACATGACCCAACAAATTAACAGAAAATCTAATGATTTGGTGGGAGCAGTGGGAATTGACCTGTTGGAATTCTTCATTGACACCCTCCCTTGAAACAATGATCTTCTAGAACCCTGCATGTATAGCAACATCTTTATACATGTATTATACAACAGTTATCGGTTAATAGGGTTTCACTTATCCCAGCTACAGTCGTAGGACCACTGAGCATGTACATGTAGATTATCACTGTTTTTGACATGGGCAGTACACAATTCAGACTCTACAATGTATATAATTTATATGTAAGTGCATGGCTGTTAAGACAACTGCACAGTACATGCAGTACTTCTGAGCAGATGTGCCAGTCAATATAGTGCAGCTTGGACAATAGTTTCAACTGTGATGGTCCATTGCACTTATTAGATACTTTGCAGTTAACTGCCAGGGCTGTCAATGAGGGGCAAAACCCTTAACACCCATTATGGCTGAGTATGTTTGAGGGACCCTTGATGCTACAGGAGAACTGGCCTGTAGTTAATACAATTCACCCTTAAAGTAACAAGTTTATTACAGGTGTGAAGATCAAGGTTACAGGTGAATTACAAACTTAAAACTTAATGACAGCCCTGACTGCCATGGGTTGCAAGCAGAGGTTCCTTTCCATCTCTTGCCTAGCAGAAAGAGAAGGGAAGCGCTGTCTCGCAGGGTAACTTACAGAAGCCTCAGACATAAGAACTGGGTGAAGGGCTGATTCAGATTTGATATCCTTGACATAGAGGTAGTCCAACAGCTTTTCAAATGTATCCCAGTCTTCAACTGCATTGGAAAAAAGTCAACAGACAAGTAAATTTTATTACATGTAGTTAAAAAATAAATGAAAGAAGAGACTAATCACATAATATGAAAGCCGGTCATTTCGCCCACAAGTTGATGTGCCTACAAGTCAGTTCGCCTAC